CTGGTTATCCTCTGCCTGTTCCATCGGGTTTCTCTCTTTTCCTCACAGCTGATATGTTATTGTTTGGATTGTTTGTTTGTATATGACTCTTATCTGGATTACATTTTTGGATTACCCTGTTCAATAAATACTGCATTTAGATCCTCAACCTTTGTGTCTCGGAGCAGTTTGTGACAATAAACTAGCTTGAGATGTTGGGTAATTTCTAACAGGTCCGGAGTAGTTACCGGCTCAAATGTATTTAACTGGTCAGAGGTAAGAGAATCAGGAGGAGATTGAAAATGGCTTTGAACCAGAACAGAACTAAATATGCTAGCTCTAATAGCAGAGATTTTATGCAACAAAAAAATAAAATAAAATAACAAGCTCTCTCTGAAATGTCAAAAACAATAGGGCATGCAGGATTTAAAACAATATTAATCACACTAAATAATATTTCAGGACTGTACTGATTCTTAGAGATTAAATCTGAGAAATACAGCACCTTAGACGCTTTGACAAACTGTTTATAAAACACTGTACCACATACTCGATCTGCAGCCCTGTAGTCAAGGTCTTCTGGAGTTGCACGTCCGGGTCTGTGGTCTGAGTCACCGCCATGTGTTTGTGATCCAAACCAAGATGGACTGCCCCAGCCACAGCCCGTAATAGGCAGTCCGCCACGAGCTGCAAGTCCGTGGTGAACTCTGAAATGTAGGACAGATGCCGTTGCTGGCGGGCGGACCACGGCTCAGCCACCTTGGCCATGGCAAAAGTCAGCATGGTCCACAAAAGGAGTGAAGTGTCTGTCTTCCAGCAGGGAACGAAAGTGTCTAATGCCAAGGCAGAGACCCAGCACCTCCCAGTCGAAAGTGCTGTACTTCCGCTCACAGGGGCACAGCTGGTGGCTAAAGAAAGACAGCGGCTGCCAGGCCCCGCCTACCCACTGTTCTTAGACAGCACCGACAGTGTAGTCCAAAGCGCCTAAGGTGATGGTGATGGAGGCTGTCGGAGAAGGATGCGCCAGCATAGTGATAGCCTTAGTGGCAATAAAAGCTTTGTCTCTGCTCTCAGTCTATTCCATAGTGTGCTTGGGTTTACCTTTAAAGGGAGAGGGACTGCTCCATCCTTAGTGACTCTGTGGCCTAGGAAGTCAGTGGTGGAGAGCCCGAACTGGCACTTAGCAGGGTTTACAATTAATCCATGTTGGCTAAGCCTCTCAAAAAGGATTTGGAGGTGCGCCAGGTGCTGAGACTTGGACACACTTACTACCAGGATGTCATCCAAGTATACAAAAAGGAAAGGCACTTCTCGTAAAACATGAGGCGCTGAAAAGATTGGGTGGCATTTTTAAGGCCGAAGGGCATGCCTGTATGTTCAGGACTGGGTATCAGTCAGGTGCCGTTGCCTCATTAAGCAGCCGCCTTCAGGTTTGGGAACGATGTGGAGGGGTGATGCCCAAAGGCTGTCGGATCGACGGACTATGCCCAGGCATTCCACGTTTGTAAACTCAGCCTTTGCAATGGCAAGCTTGGTCAGGTCGAGGCACCGAGCACGGGCATAGAAGGGTTGACCAGTTGTGGCGAGATGGTGCTCCACACCATGCTTCACGGCTGGCAAGTAGATGTTGGAAATCATCGGAAGCTGAGAGCATGCTAGACATTTGTATGGAGTCGGCCTTGCTGAGCGTGCACATATAAGAACAAAACGTGACGGTGTCAATCAGACAGCGGTTCTTTACATTCACCAACAGTCCATGTGCACACAAAAAAATCTGCACCGAGGAGGGGGACGGCAACCTTTGCTGTAACAAAGTCTCAGCCAAACTGCTGTCCTCCGAAACACAATGATGTACCTCGTTCCATATGTGCGGATGGGGCAACAATTGGAAGTTTCCATAGGGGGGCCGTGGTTGTTGGTCACCATGTCCAAATGGGATGCAGACAGGATGCTCCTCTGTGCTCCCGTGTCAAACAGAAAATGGCGTCCAGAGATTCTATTGGGGATGAAAAGCAGCCTGCCTACGGCTCATCACTCAAGGCCATTACTGAACGCCGGCCATTTCCCGAACTGCCGAAACTGCAAGGTGAATGGCATTTGATAGCCTTGCTTCCAAACTTTGCATGGTAGAAACACAAGCCTGAAGGCTGTTGGGGGCCAGACGACTGCTGCTGATGAGAAGTGGTTACAGAGATGAGTGTGGAGTCATCCAGTGGCGGCGTTTCACAAAAACCTAGAGTATGGCATCTGGCATAACATCACATAGAACAACGACATTACCGAACGATATACCTCACATTAACAAAATGCACAATGCACTGTTAACTTGTAATGCGTTGTGTCAGGAGGGAAAGAAAATAGGGATAGCTCACAGCTTATTAGGCCAGACAGAAACAGCATTCTCTGAAATGGAATAATCAATCCATTCATGAATTTTGTAAAGCTGCGCACACCCACACACACACACACACACAAAAATCTTTGTTACGTTGTTTTTTTTCCTGATCCATCATCTAATCAGAGAAGTTGGCGTTTAGACCAAGAGCAGCACGGCGCTCATTGTTATTAATCACTTCATTATCACGTGTTTTGCCTTCGGATTTATTATCAAATTAATATTATAACAATTTTTTAACAACTTTATTGCACTGAAGTATAGCAACAGTATGAAAAGTCACAAAAGTCTCATGTCGGACTCGTTTATATGAAAGGAATTTCATAATTAAATAAATAAGCCCAGATTTCACAGTGGGAAACCGTGTTTAATTACTCCAGCAGCATTTAATGTAAACTGCATTTATGACAAACAACGAACTAAACAGATGTATATACTATAGGCCTTAGGCCTACACTGTCTATTAATAAATGCATACACGTTTTCTTCATAGACAGTAAAAGGTTTTCATCTGCTTTTGTTCTGACGCTGATGCTGCGGAGAAGCCGGTTGGCCGGTTACATATGACTTTTAAAGGTGACGACTGACTGAGCGATCATAAAACGCACATTTTTTCATGATCTAATTTAGGATCATGAAAGGATCAGGATCATTTAGGAATTTAGGGGGTTCAAAAAGTCCTCCTAAAATCTTTAACGAGCATCATCATCAGTTGATGTTTTATCTGAACTCTGACTGACTGCTACGGCAATGGCCATACTCTGCCATACGCAAATGCCACCCCTGGAGTCATCCCTCGTCACCGAAGCCATGTGTGCAGGAAAAAGTGAAAAATGTCCCTAACTCGCCAGGAAAAATTTATCAGCTTCTTCAGCCAGTCTCCGACAGTCAGTGATTGTGGTGTTGGTTAATGCAGCTCTCACTTGGGAAGGCAACTGATGCAGGAAAAGCTGGATGAATAGAAAATCAGGTCTGTGCTCGCCCACAAGATCCAGAATACGGTCCATGAGCTCGGACTGTTTGCTGTCACCCAGTCCTAGAAGTGAGAAAAGCCTGCTTGGCTCTCTATGGGTCCGACAGTTCAAACGTTTTCAATAGGTGGGCTTTGAGTGCTGCAAACTTCTCAGTTGCTGGAAGATTTGTAAGAAGGTTCACCACCCTAGATGCCGTTGAATTTCCGAGAGCCGACACAACGTAGTAGTATTTTGTTGTATCCGCGCGTTGATCTCACGCAGCGGATTGCAGGGGGTTGACTGATTTTTTTTTTGAATGGTTGTATTTATGGGGTGAAATATAACATGTATTCGTGTTTTTTTCTTTTTTTAAAAGTCTTATTTTTCATAAACTTCACCTTTATTGTCAGTCGCGCTCTCCTCTGTCCTCGAACGAGCGGTCGACTTCCTGAGTCTATGAAACCACTCCCTCAGAAACAGGCAGTGGGCTCAGATTGGTTAGTTTGGCCTGGTGTATTGTGATTGGCTAAACTGTCGCTCACGTTGTCCGGAAGATTAACGCCCATTACCTTTACGGGCGAAACGTGCATGTCATGAGCTCCGGTCCAGATGTAAATATGTGTCGAACTGCAGTATCAGTTTGAGGCAGAATCAGACCGAGAAAGCTGCGATGAAGAGAGTCAAACAAAACCTCACCACACACGGCTCTTACTGAACGTTTCTGAATGATAATTTCCTACATTTTTATTTTACTTTATACTCGTCTGTTTTACACAATAGCATCTGACTGGCAACAATAGCAACTGACTGACTAATGTTAAACACAAACAGCGTTGGTTTACGCTCTTGATCAAATTGAAAATAACGTCATAAAGCATATATACATGAAAAATACATATACAACATTAGTACTATAAAATTCAGGTCCATGATGTTTGTACACGTTTGTCGTAGACACAAAATAGCATAACTAGTAGCCTAGTGGCTATGAAGCCAGCGCTGGCATTTGAAAAAATGAAAACACAAGGCTACGTCTGGAATTATACATGCAAATACATTTTAAATGATTAAGTCTTAGCCTACTTACAGGTTGTGGCCCAACAACTGCTGCCTCTGGTTTTAAAGTTGGAACTGCTTCATGTTTTAGTAACAGTTTCTTGTTGAATCTGGAGTTGAACTCGTGGAGATTCTGGAAGCTGTCTTCCGTAAAATGCGCAGCACAGAGAGCTAAATTACGATCGTCATTTTCAGGAACATGATCAAACATAAATTGTATCCATTGTTGACGAAGTACAGCGTCCGTGGGAAGCTCGAACACAGAAGACCTGACAGCTGGGTGAACATGACACACTCGACGTGCCGACTATGCACATGGCCTTTTTTTGCATATTCAGGAGGGAGGGGTTGATGCAAATGTGTGGGTTAGTGACATCTAAAACCCAGCTGTAGTCCCAATCGAGTTGTTTTTGTAGGCATTTACACTTCCTGGTTTTTAAAAGACGATATCTCTGCTTACACTGAACTTTCAGCGCTGCAACTTTGCAGATACTGTTCATGCACCAACAGCAACATCACACACTATCTAAAATGAAAAAAGTGAAATCGCAGCCAACCCCCCCCCCCCCCCCCTTAAAATGCAATAAAAAAAATTAAATAAATAAAAACCTGAAAAATCAGTGTTATTGCATGAGTTTATTTCTTGCTATGCCATGTCTTACAGAAGAGGTGTAATACAGGTAAACAATATAATTTGTGTCTCTGTCTGTTATTTCAAAAGTTCAACATATCAATCCTTATGAGACAGCATGTTCACTGAGTACGTAAACAAGGTGGTGCATTGTCTCCAATGGTTGCAGAACCCTGGGAGGGATACACGTGAAGCTCACAATCAGCAAAAAGAATAATCTTCTTGTCACAAACATACAGCGGATATACCATCATGACATTCATTGTCACAGTTGTTAGCATAATGATGTACATCTGAACTTGTTGTGTAAATGTAATGGTCAGTTACTGTGAAAAGCATTATTGCAATACAGTTCCTTTTTCTTTTTCTTAAAAAAAGCCATGTTTATTTATATAAACCTCAAATTCATTGAGATTAATAATACACTCTTTAATTGGCAGACCATTAGGGAAAGTGCTACAATGACCGGCTTCAAAAAAACAGCTGCACTCCCATTTATTGTGTTGACTCAGCATGTTTTCAAAAGCAAGGCTCCGATTCCAGATTGTATCTATAAAGGCTGGTGACCTCTCAAATGTCCATTTAGCCCTCCGATTATATATGCTGTTGCAGTATGATTTAAGTTTAAACGGGATGTGAAACAGTATTCTGATGATCAGCTGTGCTTATACTGTCTACTTCTACTTACCACATTACAATGACCAGGACCTCTGTTTTTATACATGGAAAGTGAGTAGGTGATCTAAAACCTGCATAAAAAACACAAAAGTATTTCCATCATTTGGCCCACTTTAGTTGAATAGATATGTGAGAAAAAAGAGTCCCTCAATAAAGCAACAAAGAAAAATAATTGCTGCCACTGAGAACATTTTCAAGGACAATGATTCAGATACTTCCAATATTGGCTTTGACCCAAATAAACTCCATAAAGTTATATTAGCATTGTTATTGCATTAAAGTTTTTTGTAACCATGTCCTCATAAGTAAGTTTCTCAGGATGTTTACTCAACATTAGCATGTAAACAAAAATTACTAACATCATAAAGTGCTAGTCAGCCTTATTTAAGTACGAACCAACACTTGCACACAGATTTTGGCGTAAAACAAAATAGACATTATAACAATTCCCCATTAAACGTTCAAAGTGATGTTGCACATATCCTGCACATGACTGTTGTTAAAGGATTAGTTCACTTTTGAAAAAACTTTTGCTGATAATTTACTCACCCCCATGTCATCCAAGATGTCCATGTCTTTCTTTCCTCAGTCGAAAAGAAATTTAGGTTTTTGATAAAAACATTCCAGGATTTTTCTCCATATAATGGACTTCAATGGGAACCGGATGGTTCAAGGTCCAAAAGACAGTTAATAACTGTTTCAGATGCAGCTTCAAATGTCTTTAAACGATATCAGACGATGAATAAGGGTCTTATCATGCGAAACGATCGGTTATTTCAAAACTTATTCCAAAAATGTAACTTTTCTAAGGACAAATGCTAGCCTTGCTCTATTCTGTGAGGCGCGTTTGCAACGTCACGTATTACGTAATTACGTTCAAAAGGTCACGGGCGACGTAGCCGAAAGTACAGAGTCAGTGTTTACAAGTTGAACGCATAGGTTGAACGTGCAAACTAGCTCAAACACCGTATACAAAAAAAGGAATTAAAAGGTAAAACAACGATGTCGGACGATTTTGATTCTGTACTTCCGGCTACGTCGCCCGTGACCTTTTGAACGTAATTCGTTTCGCATGACAAGACCCTTATTCATCGTCTGGTGTCATTTAAAGACATTTGAAGCTGCATCTGAAACTGTTATTAACACTGTCTTTTGGACCTTGAACCATCCGGTTCCCATTGAAGTCCATTATATGGAGAAAAATCCTGGAATGTTTTCATCAAAAACCTAAATTTCTTTTCGACTGAGGAAAGAAAGACATGGACATCTTGGATGACATGGGGGTGAGTAAATTATCAGCAAAAGTTTTTTCAAAAGTGAACTAATCCTTTAAGTTCCTGTCTGCAGAAAACATTGCAAGAAAATGCACAGCTGTCTCTGTATGAGAGCATACATTCATTCATTTAATATCTGGACTACACAATTTCCATTACCTCATTATGCAAAATGGTTCCAACTTCCATGTACATTGTGCAGTTTCTGAGTAACACACTTAAATACTGATGCAGAGATAAAGTGCATGATCTGCTAAGTCAATGTCCCTCTGAACCAACATACTACCATAAAGTAACATGCTGTCATAGATGTTGCTCTGCAGACACAGAGATCCGTAACACAGTCAAAAAAGCATTGAGAGCTCATTGAGGGCCTGAATTCTGCTAATCCAAACCAAAGGTCACTTTAATGAGCCTCAGTAAGAATTTGTTTTTGATGTGTCCTCCGCTTGGAATCCTACTAGCAAACAAATGAATGTTGATGTTCATGCCTGTTAGCCTTATTTATCTTTTCAAAGTCTGAATTAGCAAGATTATGATTGAGCTAATTTGATCTGATTTTGATAGAAATTTTAGTTTTATATGAGTGGCAAGTCATCTGTGTGGGACACAGGCGGGCGTCACTGCTGTGCCAGTAGGGCACTCCGATTGGCCTTCATCTTCTCTAGTCTCTTCGTAAGGTGGCTGTTGCTTGCCTCCAGCTCATCGATACGGTCAAGGGCAGACCTCAGCTAGAATAAGCACAGCAGGAATTTGTTACATCACTCTCTAAAAAATATTCAGTAGCTTTGTAAATATCCAACGCTATCTCACAACCAATTCGTACAAATTGAAAGGTAATTAAAAGGTGGCTAATTCGTATGAATTCGTATGACCTCACTTGTCCGAATTTGTACGATTTGTCTAAACCCACGTGATGGGTATGTTTAGGGGCGGGGTCAGGGGTCAAGGGTAATTAGTACGAATCAGGCAACTCATAAAATATGTACGATTTAACAAAAAGTGAGGTTGTACGAATTGTTACGAATTAGCCACCTCATAAAATTTGAACGAATTGCCGTGAGATCGGGTTGAAATATCACACAATAATAAATAACTATACTACCTTAATACAATCTCTGAAAATCACTTGTTTTTGACTAAAATGTACATCTCTTGTTTTATGAAAAAAAAAAAAAATTTGACAAACAAATTATATTTTTAAGATATACTTATATACTTATTTTTGTTCAATTTCATTCAAAATATTTGAGAATGAAGAAATGATACTGATCATTTTCAAGAACTACTATTATTACTCATTCCATCTCAACATTCTCTCATCTTTAACAGCAGCGTATGAAATTGAGTAAGTTGGGCAATCACGCGCCAAGAGGAGTATTTGATTTTTCAAGCATTCTTTAATACGGACTGTATAACGAGAGTAATTGATCAGTGTTATTTTGTGTTTTGCACAAAAATTATATAGTAGGAGAAATTAGTGCATGTTCTTTTTTGTTTGGATTCATGGGAGTTTCAGTTAAATTGATGTTTTGGTGTTACTATTACGATGAATAGTACAACATGTGGTCAGGTTGAGGATGAGCCAGGGGACATTTAAGTCACCTTGAAAGTCCAAAAGTGATTTTTAAATGAGTAATTTGCAAATCTGTGCTGACTCGGTTTCAGACTTTTTTTTTTTTTTGCAAACCGGACAAAACTTTATTGCAGCGATAGCAAACAAAAATGATCCAGTCGATATTCAATAGACAAAATCAAATCCCGCCCAACATTTTCTTTTTTTTTGGTCCATTACCTTATTATATTAGGTCTAATTAATTGTATTAGTCATGGCATCAAATGTAGATCTATTTTATTTTTTTCTTACATGTACTTTATTCATAAGGTACATTTCAAGGATTTCACAGCTTCAAAATGTGCTCAATATTTTTAATTTTAAGAATATTTCACAGAAAAAAAAAATCACTATATCATAATTGGCAGTTTTCGAGTGCAGTTGTTGCTAATTATGTTTAAAATATTAGCGATTCACATACAAACTAGGACTTATTTTAAAAAAGAGATACGATATATAGGGAAGCATGCCTCCAATTTAATTGATATATTTATTGACATGTGTAAAAATAAAGATAATAGGAAACTTATTTCAAAACTATATCTAGCCATTCAATCCGTAAAGAAACACTCAACAAATAAAGTTAGATTAAAGTGGGGAAAATAATCTGGTCTAGATATTTCAGAGGAAGACTGGCTGAATATCTGTTCTGTACAGGCGACTATTACCACTACCAGCTCAGGTTTGTGGAGAGAATTCTGTTGGCAGAATCTTATTAGATACTTATAACCCCCAAGTTAAAATCTATTCAGTCTGGCGAGAAGGAAATTGGTCTATGTTGGAGGAAATGTGGGGAACAGCCGGCTGACCATTTCCATGTATTCTGGAGCTGCCCAGCCATTCAGTCATTTTGGCAGGAGCTAATACAAGTAATACATTTTATTTTCGGTGATGAAACTGACTGCTCATTTTCTACAATTTACCTGGGCAACTTAGCAGCCCATTTAATGATAAAAGACAAGTACCTTTTAAAGATAATATTAGCAACCAGCAAAAAAACCTGTAACACGAAAGTGGCTACAATTTGAACCCCCAACAAAGGCTGAGTGGCTGGACATTATGACCAAGGTCCAGAATATGGAGAGGCTGACTTTTGCTTTAAACTTACAGATGGACAGAAATTTGCAGTATTGGGAAAAATTGATTGTGTTTACGACTTCATGACATGTTTATTGACCAGTGCAATGCACCATCTGACATATATACTTTCATACATTTTACTTTATCTAAGAATATATTAGTGACCAAACGATTGCCCTGAATGATTGTCTTTATTGCATTTTTTATTGCTGTTTTTTGTTTCTGTTATGTTTTTGTTTTGTTTTGTTTAAAAGGAAAAAGAATATAAAAATAAAGTTAAAAAAATATTAGCATCCCCCCCAATCATTTAATAATGTACCTCTCTCTGTAGCTTGCGTTTCTCCACTTTTAGTTCATCTTCCACTTTCTCCGCAGCCTCAGCAGACATCTTATAGCGGCCCACCTGACCCTCCAGCCGAATTATCTGCCACATGACAGAGATTGCAGATTATACATGAAACACTGTGGAACTGCTGTTACCACAATCAGAAGAAGAATGCAAGAGCAAGATTCTGTTGTGCCTCTGGGAATAATGTCTTGTGTCAGTGTTAACCATGACTTACATTTTGTTCAAGTGCTGTTACTTCTTGCACAGACTTGACCAACTTGAATTTCAGGTCACTTATCTGCCTGTTAGCATCTCCTGTAGAAAAAAAACAAAACATCTCATGAAAACATATAACTCCTTATGACAATCCAGCCTAGATAAAAAAAAGACTGATAGTGATTGAAATTTAAAGGTGTATCTTACTCTGCAGATCTAGGATATGAGGGTCCAGACCATTCTGAAGGTCATCCTCATCAGTGCTTCCCATTTCTTCTGTCCCATTCTTCTGTTTCTGCTCTGCAGTGGCTTTAAGCTTCCGTACCTGCAAATACACACAGAGCACAGCAGAACCTGATTTCAGCAAGTGCAACGTGTTCCTGGATTAACATCTCAGTTGTTGGAACAAAATTCCAATCAACTAATAAGATGGGACAAGATGGGACAACTTTACAGTTTATGTCAAATTTAGACTTACAACCAGGGTTAGGTACTTCTACATCAGAGTTATTCACCTATCACTTCCCTCTGATTTTAGAGAGAATTTATAGGTAAGGATATGGTTGTGATACAATTTTCTGAAAAGTTTTGTTGTTCCAGGATCCACAAAATATGTTGATGGAACGCGGTATTTCATAAGATGCTCTCCCACAATATCAATTATACAGAAAACGTCTCGGTTACGTATGTCACCCTCGTTCCCTGAGGAACGGAAACGTGTCGTCGGGGAGTTCACTGATGAATTAGGACCAGGCTAGGGAGCCTATTGCCTTTGAGAGAATAAAAACGAGCCAATAAATATTGGCATGCAAGATTTGCATTCCGCGAGCCGCCTACCAGCGCGGATATAAAAGGCGGAAGTAAACATTGCATGACGCTTTTCACTGAGGAGCCAAACAGAGTCCAGTTCTCCGCGAAGGTACAGCAACATGGTGAAGGGACGACACATCTCTGTTGCCTGTACTCAGGGAATGAGGGTTACATACGTAGCCGAGACATTCCCTTTCGTCCTGAGAACTCCAATGTGTCGAGGAGTTCCCTGATGAATTGGGATCCCTAACAAAATGCCATGGTGCTAGCCCCTTCCAGCACCCAGCTAAGCTACCCTGCAGTAGTTTCTTGACAAATTGCGGGAGCTAGCTAGGGAGTCACACTGCTGTTCCCGTTCAGTGGACTTTGGATAACACTGGGAAAGCGTGCCCTAACCCGTAAAAGGGAAGAGAACGTTACGGAAGCCAGCCACCTGATGAAGGCCTGGCATACACATACGTACTAGCCCAGGAGGATAGTGAAACATATGGCAGTCCCTGAGGTAGCCCCAATCCAAGGGAAGTGGGAGCGTACTCAACAGGGACGACAGAACGAGTCTGTCAAGAGGAAGACACGGCTGAACTGCATGTGGCATTATGAGTCACCAAAGAGACCACTGGACAAAACACCAAGTCTACACACAACTCCTTTAGAGGTAGCAGACCTGGCGGCGGTCCGCCACGCCTGACACCGAAGAGGTGATGGAGGAACTCACAAGGCTCACCGAAGTAGGGCGCCAACGGAGCAAAAGACGCATGCATCCGGCCGAGGCACGGAGTGGCGTAGCAAGCCGACACAACCTATTCCCTCGCACCACTGGCCATAGTGCGGACAGGACTGAGAAAAGCAAGGGCTGGGTCTGCCTCCTCCTGCGGCAGCGCTTGGAGGTCCACTGAGCCGGGGTCTCAATATCACCTGAGAAAGGCACGGCCCGAACTCTAGGCACGATTCGTCGACTGAAAAAGCCTGCAGATCCCCGACCCTCTTGAAAGAGGCCAATGCCAACAGGAGTGCTGCCTTAATGGACAGGATATTTAGCTCCACTGTCAACAAAGGCTCAAAGGGAGGACTTTAAAGAGCTCTCAGTACCAGAGCTAGGTCCCAAGAGGGTACAGAGTGCAAAACACGAGATGGATTTAACCTCCTAGCAGCCTTAAGGAATCTGGTGATCAGGTCGTGGTTCCCCACAGACTTACCTTCTACTACATCGTGATGTGTGGCTATTGCGGAAACATACACCTTGAGGGTGGAGGGAGACAGCCTTCGCTCTAACCCATCTTGTAGGATGAAAGCATGACTCTGATCGGGCAAGTTCGGGGGTCCTCCTGGTGGGAGGAACACCACTCGATGAATAGGTTCCACTTCAACGCATAGAGGCACCCCATAGAGGGGGCTCTAGCAGAAGTGATGATGTTTACCACTGCCTGTGGTAGATCACCTAGAACCTCCGCATCCCATCCAGGGACCAGACATGGAGTTTCTAGAGGTCTGGACGCGGGTGCCATAAAGTGCCCCGTCTCTGAGAAAGGAGGTCCTTCCTCAGAGAATCGGCCAAGGAGGGGCTGTCGCGAGGAGCATGAGTTCCAAGCACCAAGTCCTGGTGGGCCAATACGGCGTCACTAACAGGACCTGCTCCTCGTCCTCCCTGACCTTGCACAGAGTGTTTGCAAGAAGGCTTACTGGGAGAAACGCATACTTGCGCAGGTCCCGGGGCCAGTTGTGAGCCGAGGGTCCCCTCGGACAGGGAGTAAAACCACTGGCAATGGGTTGTGTCCGGAGAGGCAAACAGGTCTACTTGTGCAACTCCGAAAACACTCCAAATCAGCTGAACCGCCTGGGGATGGAGTCGCAATTTTCCTGGCAGGGGAGGCAACCGTGAAAGCTCGTCTACCACACGGTTGAGCTCCCATGAGTGGCACGAAGCGACCTCAGATGCTTCTGGCTCCATAGGAGGAGGTGGGAGGTGAGTCGCGACATGTGGCGGGAGCGTAGACCACCTTGTTGGTTTATGTATGCAACGGTGGTGTCTGTACGGACCAGTACGTGCTTGTGTTTGCCCTTTGTATGTGGCCCCCCACCCCATAGCAGAAGCATCTGTGAAAACCACAACATGCCTGGAAACCTGGACAAGGGGCACTCCGGCCTGAAGAAACGCAGGATCCGACCATTGGGTTTGGCGGCAGTGCAGGGTTATCTTGACCCGGAACGTGCAGCTCTGCCACGCCCACCTCGGGACTCGATCGTGAAGCCAGTGCTAAAGGAAAGCGTCAGTTAGATGACGCGGTTAGGTTTAGATCTGGGGTGGGGGTAGGGTTACACGCGATCCTAGGGCGTCATCTAACTGACGCTAAAGGGCGCCTAAAGCGTCAGATACTGAAGCATGGTCAAAATGCTTCCCAAGGCGTCAGTTAGGTGATGCCTTGGGGGTGAGAATGGGCTGAGCTAGTAGAGGCGTGAGAAGCCCAATAGGATCTTTCACCAGTCGAAACATTCTTCACGGTAATCCTCCACTCACCAACAGGAATCACCGAAGTAGCTGCCTGCTGAACTGAACCAGCAGACGAACTAAATGAACTAGTTTCAGGGTTCTCAGTCTCGAGTGCAGCATCGCGAGAGTCATATTCCCGCAATGAGAACATGACACATCCACAAACGCTGCCTCAGCGAGCGCTATGCCCAAGCACGAGAGGCAATGCTTGTGGCCATCTACCTGAGGGAGAAATCGACCGCATCCAAAAACACACAGGTGAAACGACATCCTGAAAAGGACGTGAAACACCTGCAAAGCTCTTTTAGGAGATGGAAAGTGCTCTGATGTGCCGAAGCACCGAGGGATCACCGCGGCAGAGGTACTCGTTGAGTTTTCTAAATCTCTCTTCAGCAAGGAACAGCAGTAGAAACTGTGAGGCCCCGAAGAAAAAAAGCATCATGCAATGTTTACTTCCACCTTTATATCCGTGCTTGTAGGCGGCTCGCAGAATGCAAATCTTGCATGCCAATATTTATTGGCTCGTTTTTAATTCTCTCAAAGGCAATAGGCTCCCTAGCGTGATCCTAACTCGTCAGGGAACTCCCCGACAACACGTTGGAGTTCCCAGGACGAAAGCCAACAATGAATCACTTGAAAAGCATGACAAAACTCACCTGGTCGAGCAAACTCTCTCTCTCTTCCACCAGCTTCCTTAATCTGATCTCTGAAAAATTCAAACAAAAATATATACAGAACATGAACCTCATACAGAATCGAATGTAAGATACACAACGAGTCGATGTAGGCACTAATATAATTTATTTTGTAGCACTTATTGGAACCGTCATTTTAATATTTTACAATGAATTATACAATTAATAAAAAATGCAATTAATGTGCATTTAACATGACCAAAAATGCATGACTCAATTGCAAAATAGATTGTTGGGGTGATAAGGAATAAGGAAAGAAACACTATATTTACTTCTAAAGCCCGTTGTGTAAAGTCTATTAAAAGCGTTATTCCTCTTGTATGTCAAATTATCTTCATTTAAGTTTATTTTTCCCAGCAATATACCCAAAAGTAATTAATAATAATCACCATATCATATAATTAATAACAAAAAAGGTAACATTAACAAAAAACACTGTTTTTATTTAATATGAATTATTGTGATATTGTGTATTAAATAGAACATGTATAGGTAACACTTTATAATAACTCCACACTATTAATCATTAGTTAAGCATGAGTAAACAGTTAATTCATCATTTATAAAACATTAATAGACATTAATATGCGGTTTATAAATACAGCTATACATGTTTTTTTCTTGATTTATAAGCATATCTATAATGCGTTTAATGAGTGTATTTTCATACTTTGTTAATGATCAATTAATAATTTCTAAATGAAGTATAGCATTATTTACAATCCAGTTGTTTAAGAGTTGTCAGTCATTCATAAGATCACTTAGAAAGTGTAAGTAAATGTAGTAAATACATAGTTATAAAGCATTTAGTAGTGGTCAGTTAACTATTTTTGTGACCTAATCTAAAGTGAGGACTATGCTTTGTAAAGCATGATTTAAAGACTCGTCAATCTTCTAAACAGTAAAATGTAACAAACACAACGCAGTGATACAGAACATAGAAATATTTAACAGCCTTTAAAAATGCTTTACAAGGTATGACTAGTCCTCACTTTAGATGAGCTCACGAACATAGTTAACTGACCACTACTAAATGCTTTATAACTACCCAAATTAACCCTTAATTACAGCATTAATACATGTTAATAAAGCATTTATTAACACATTAAGTAACCATCACTATATGTCTGAATAATAAGATGTATGAATGTACATTTAAATAGTTTATTAATCATTTACTTACTCGCTCTAAGTAATCGTATGAACCACTGAAAACTCTTAAATAACTGGTTAACAAAAAATGCAATTCTTCATTTAGAAATGATAAATTGATCATTAATAAAGGATGAAAATACAATTATTAAACAAATTATAGATATGCTTTTAAATCAAAAAGAAAGCATTTATAGCTGTATTTATGAACTGCTTATTAATGTCTATTAATGCTTTATGAATGATGAATTAATGGTTTACTCATGCTTAACTAATGATTATTAGCATGTAGTTATTATAAAGTGTTACCCATGTATATATGGTGTTATTATAACTATACACATTGTATATGTACACTGATGTGAATATTATTTTGTATAAAACATTTGTGGTATTTGCTTTTTATTTGTTGTTACAAGTGACATCAATGATGATAATGATGATTGTTACACATGGGGAAGTATTATTCTTCCAAAGTGCAATGCATCTAATTGTCCATGCATTTGGATTTGTATCCATACACAATGTATTCACATTTCTCTTGAGGAATTTGTTTTTAAAAATCAAGCTTTTCAGAATATTGAAAAAAATGTACAGCTTTTGCATGCCAAAAACATGCCTGGATCATTCTAATTTACATTAAATATTTAAAGAACATGATTATGCAAAATTACACCACACATATAATTTCTCAATGAAAATAAAATCAAATGGGCATTGTCACAAACATCAGAAAATCAAAAAAGAACAATACAAATCTGTGAAAAATCATGACATATAGCAGTTGAAGCAGTTGAACTTTTTCTTAAAGTACGTCTGTGTTTCATTTTCTATACTCAGTCCTCTCACATCGAATATTATTTCTTTTGGAGGTTCACTCTTATGCATATTTAAACCAACAACTGCTTCCTCACAACTATCGAGAAGGAAAGCTATGCCCTTGTGCTCTACTGGCATGCTATACGTGTCCTCCACACACTGCAACTCTGGCTCAGCCTCTGTCTCTCGCTGGTCCCTGGATAGTACACCTTTGTCTCCTGTGGTATTAAATATTTCCGGTTCATTAGAGTCTGTGGGTTCAAACATGAGATCTTGAGAGCTTTTAATAGCAGCATTGATTTCTATTCAGTTAATGTTCTCTGCTGGTCTGGTCTGTAGTTCATATATTGTAATTTCCAAAATTATCTGAGTCTCAGGATTAAATGGTTATAGTGAAACAAGTTTCTGCACTTGAATCAATGTCTCATTTATCCTCTGACATGTTCTGTTTGATTATAATTACAGGTTCTTCAACATTAATTAGAGTGCACTTCACCTGTGAGATGTCAAATCTGCAACCAGTAGAATTGGTGAAAAAACACTTGAATTGTGTTTTTTTTTTTTTTTTTTATATATTGAGAGTAGGAATCCATCTTTATTTGTATGCAGCTGCGTTAATACATACATCCTGAAACAAATCTAACCAGGTGGAGCTGAGGGAGGTGGAGGATTTCAGAGGAACTCTGATAGCTTTCTACCTAAACTAGCCTATAGCGAACACCAAACCAGACTATTTAAGTGTTGAACAAGCAATCTCACTCACTGCAGAATCAACAGACCCAAATCAACTTGTGCCACGTGATAACAGTGTGATGGCTTGCAGCAGATCACATGTTAAGGACCAATCAGCCTGTGCCATCTAGAGTTTCATGATATTTATACAGGTTTGAGGAGGTATACAGTCAACATTCCCTCATTTAACAAACTGACACAAGAATGACACCAAAAGGATTTCTTGCCACCATTTTGGTCTTAATCATAGTTTTGTTTAATCTCTAATCTTTAACATATTTCAGATAATAATGAAAAAACAATGCAAATATGCATTAAGCAAAATTGTAAACATTTGTTAATTACAACAAATAAATCGGCTGCAAAAGCTTATTTGTTTAGACTGTGAGTTAAAAAAATACTGGAAACCGTTTTTCTTACCTAACATGCTGTCTCCAGTCATGAGGGGCGTGTGAGAGTCTTGATTCAATCGGGAAGCTGTTTCCGAACCAGCACGCCCATCGATCGCCCCGTCTGCTGTCTGCCCATTGGCCGTCACCTCAGATCCCAGCACAATGCCATGTTTCTGAGCAAGAATACAATCTGATGTCAACATCCCATTTTTCCATTATGTTATAATGGTCCTTTGAATTCAAAATAATGATGCTACATATAATGATTTCTATATCGCTACTTCATTGCCAATATTGCTTCTAAACCTCTACCTTTAGAGCATCCTTAAGCCGGCAAACCTCATCACTGAGTGCCTCCCGTTCATCATGGATAATGTCTGAATATTCCTTCTGCCTCTCTAAGGCCTAAATGACGCCATCCGCAAAAGTGAAAAGTCAGGGAAGGGAAGAACAAAGAAGTAAAGGAAAGATGTAAGGTTAGGAAAGACTACAAGGGACATGTGACAGTATAAAGCATTCTGTCCATAACAAAGTTCGGTTAATAAGTTACACAAGCTAAAGAGAAATTAGGGAATTCTGAAATTATTAAGTGATTATTAAGTGTTAAAACCTAAAAGAGAGAATTGTTTGGATGTGATATGATTAAAGAAACATGGTCATGAAAGTAATTGTACCAGAATCTTTTTATCTTTCCATTCCAATGTTTCTTGTAGGTCAGAGATCTCTCTAATGTAATCCGCCTGCTTCCCGCGAGACTGTTGGGATTCCTGAGCCCCAGCCATGAGGGCAAGCAGAGGAAAATAGATGGGTAGATAGAAGAATATTAAGAGGAAAATATGAGAGAAGACAACAGAAAAACAGAATCCATCTATGTTAGGAAGACAAAGAGCCAGAAGATGCCGCATCAATTAAAGGAGTAGTTCACTGTTGAAAAAACTTTTGCTGATAATTTACTCACCCCCATGTCATCCAAGATGTCCATGTCTTTCTTTCCTCAGTCGAAAAGAAATTAAGGTTTTTGATGAAAACATTCCAGGATTTTTCTCCTTATAATGGACTTCCATGGGAACCAGGTCCAACCGAGGTCCAAACGACAGTTATAACAGTTACAGATGCAGCTTCAAATGTCTTTAAACGATATCAGACGATGAATAAGGGTCTTATCATGCGAAACGATCGGTTATTTCAAAACTTATTCCAAAAATGTAACTTTTCTAAGGACAAATGCTAGCCTTGCTCTATTCTGTGAGGCGCGTTTGTAACGTCACGTAATATGTAATTACGTTCAAAAGGTCACGGGCGACGTAGCCAGAAGTACAGAGTCAGAGAACAACCGAGGTGTTTACAAGTTGAACGCATAGGTTGAACGTGAAAACTAACTCAAACGCCGTTTACAAAAAAGGAATTAAAAGGTAAAACAACGATGTCGGACGATTTTGATTCTGTACTTCCGGCTACGCCGCCCGTGACCTTTTGAACGTAATTGCGTATTACGTGACGTTGCAAACGTGCCTCACAGTATATTACAAGGCTAGCATTTGTCCTTAGAAAAGTTACATTTTTGGAATAAGCTTTGAAATAACCGATCGTTTCGCATGATAAGACCCTTATTCATCGTCTGGTGTCGTTTAAAGACATTTGAAGCTGCATCTGAAACTGTTATTAACTGTCGTTTGGACCACGGTTAGACCTGGTTCCCATGGAAGTCCATTATAAGGAGAAAAATCCTGGAATGTTTTCATCAAAAATCTTCATTTCTTTTCGACTGAGTAAAGAAAGACATGGACATCTTGGATGACATGGGGGTGAGTAAATTATCAGCAAAAGTTTTTTCAAAAGTGAACTAATCCTTTAATGGCGACACTCACCGTCAACAACTCTTCACTCTGCTTCAGTGTTTCCTTCATCTCCTCAAACTGGATCTTTAGGATATTGTGGGCATGACGTTCTCGCTCGCACTCCTAAAAACATTCCAGTCAAAAATGCATATTAAAGTATGTACTGAAGAATTCATTGTAAATTTGCAGTTTATTCCTTTTTAGTAGCCGTACTGTCAGTTATTTGAATGGTAGTATAAAGGACAACCAAATAATGACTTTTACAATGACCATCTGCATGATTGAGTGCATGTCAGTAATATTGGTATATTAACAGTCTGTTTACTGTATATTGAGTGTTGATATTGCTGTGTGCCTGATTGAACAACTGATTCAATTGATTATACTATAGCATGCAACATTGCCACATGTAGTAGTTTAGTTATGATCAGACTTACCCCAACAGGGGTCAAATTGACCCAACAGAGTTTGATTTTTAGATTTTTTTTTCCAGTATAATAATAATAATAATAATTTACAAATTGATATTCCATTCATTCCTCTTGTATGTACAATTGTGTACTATGTGAGCCTCTGCAATGTTATTTATATATTTCTTGGTCATAGGCTGAGAAAAAAAAATTTTTTTTGTTTCAATACTCTAATTCTTTGACCTGTATGCATTCCAAGATTTTGTCTCACGTAGTAGTTTTGTCAAAAAAATATTTATTCATTACACTTCATCGATTACTCTAAATTTGGGGTTATGACAGAAAATGTAAATGTCTTATTTTCTATTGAAAACAACAATTATATATATATTATTACAACAATTATAATTATATATAATAACAATTATATAGATTTTGTATTAAAACTCTCTTTATCAAAAAAAAAAAATAGATAAATTTCATCATTTGATAGGCCTTACCCTGTTTTTTTCCTCTCTCTCTCTGCGTGTCTCACACAGAAGTTCCTCCAACTCCATCAGAGTGTCTCTCAGTGTGTCCACCTGATACATCAGGTTTGTCTTCTCATTGTCCAGCTGAGCGTTGGACACCATGGCCTTACGGTACTTCTCCTCTACCTCTACCAGAGAATCCTGAGAGTAGACAACAAAATTAAGATCTTTACATATAGATCATGGCCATTATAATTTAGTATTATGAACACACCAAACCTACCTTCATTTCCCGTATGGAAGCCTCAGTGTCAGCTGAAAGCGAGGTATCACAGCTTCCTCTTCGTGATAACCCTCCACCCAGAGATGCAAGAGTGGCAGCCGAGAGGGTGGAGGCTGTCCTGGAACCCTGAGGATGTAGTTTAAATATTTACTTTGTCTGGTGGATCACTTTGTTGTGGTATTATTCACTGTGATGGATTAAAAATTGTGTTTGTGCATCTATTCAACATTCAACAAATTATTCCACGGACCTTTTCCAGGAAATCTGACCTTTCCTCCACCTGTATGGAAAATGAAATGTGTTCAGCAGAAGCTACAATGTTAAATCATGCAGACTCTTTATACACACTAAATGAAAAATACTTATTTAAAACAATAATGCATCAGCATTGCAGCATCTATATGTTCCATGCTTTACTCACTAGAGGGAGCAAGACACAAACAAGATTAATGCTAATTCCACACAATAGCCTACTGAATATTCCAGAGTGAGGAACAGGATATGCAAAAGGACATGAGAACAGATCAGTTTTTGCCATGGATCTCCATGTGTTACAGAAATGACAGACTTGGCCCTTGAAAGTGAAACTGCAGTATTAAAGCTTGGTCAGTGATAGAAATGGGAAGCTCGCCTCACCACTGGACTGGCACGGGCTGAACTTGCCCTAGATGAAGCCCTGGAACTGGAGCCCAAAAAGCCATTGTAGTCTGAAGGCTGGCCAGAAAAGCAGGTATAGAGAAAAAAAGCAGAATAAGATGGACAGAGGAGGAGATGTTAGCCAGAAAGAGAGTTCGTTCGGAGCATTAGAGGGAAAATATGGGAACTGATGAGTATAAAGTTTAAAGAAATGACACCATATCATAAACACTACTGTTCAAAAGTTTGGGACTAGAGCGATTGTATTCATATTTTTGAAAGAAGTCTCTTTTGCTCAACAAGAATGCATTTATTTGACCAAAAATACAAAAAAACATTAATATTGTGAAATATTATTACAATTTAAAATTACTTTATTCCCGTGATCCAGTTTTCAGCAACCAGCACTCCAATCTCCAGTCACACAATCCTTCAGAAATGATTCTAAAATGCTAATTTGGTCCTAAAGTAACCACTCTTATTATTGTAAATGTGAATTAATTATTAATTAAAAGCAGCATTTATTTGAAACAGAGGTCTTCTGTAGTAATTTATGTCTTTGCCGTCACTTTTGATCTATTTTAATCATCCATACTGAATAAATGGGGGTGGGGGCAATCTTTTAAACAGTAGTGTAAAACCGTACCCATATTGTAGGTCAAAACAAAACACACTGACACACAGAATTAGCAGGTATCTGTGCAAAGCAGAGTCAATCAGCCTGACTAGTAAATGACCATATTTCAACCACACATGAAGACAAAAAGATATTCTATCCAAGATGATTAACCATCAAATGCATGCTTTGCATGCATTTCCCACTCTACTGCCATGCATAACAAGAGTGGGAAAACAGTAGGGTGGAGACTACCAAACTTTCCTCGGAGAAGCCCATGACATAAACAGACACAGACAACACCTAGTCAAGCCTGTGGTTTCTATAAACAGAACCATGCAAGAAGCTCAACAAGCCCAGACTGGCATTGGGTATCAGGTCATGCGCCTTTTTAGAGGGATATGTATAAAATGGGCCTTACGCCTCTAGAGCTGGAGCCACTGAAACGCCTAGGGCCAGAGAATGAACTCTCTTCATGCAGTGACCCCTGCAGACAGAACAGAACACTTCACCATACTACATTCACCTCACAGACTCGATATCTCAGGGACAGAACCATGGAGAACACAACATACAGTTAAAATAAACACCCTTAAATGGCCACTTTATGTATCCAAGATGGTTCACAATTATGAAATGTGATCAAACAGGGCTGCTAACAACCAGAGAAGATGTACTTTAAACACATTACGAGGAGGTAATGCTCATGACATACAGAGGAGTTCAAAGAAAGCTTCTTTGTGTGTTTACAGAAAGTTAACACATTAGCCATCAACTCTAATGCACTCTGATGTATTCTGAGCACTTATAGATAACTAAATAAAGAATTGATTTCTGCGTTAGATGTCCGAGTAAGAGACTATGGAAGGCATAAACTTGTCAACACAAGATTCTGCTAATCAGTTTACTACACTGCATGCAGGTATCTGCTCAAATGAGGGATTGAACACACACACAACAAGTCCGTAAATGAGATAGTTTACCCAGAAATGAAAATTAATGTCATCATTCATTGAACAGTCTTCTAGATCACTCCTTTTGTGTTCCACACACACAAAAAAATGTCATATAGCTTACAAAGACAACATAATCATAGTCATTTTTGGATTAACTATATCTTTAAGTTCATAGCAATGTGTGTCATGTATTCACCAAGATGAAACAGAGTTAACGAACAATCTGCATGTCAGGTTGCATGCAGATGACAACTGGAAACAAACCCTGTGACTTCTTGAACGGGGGGGTTCACTAAAAAGCGCAGAGGGCTAAAAACAGACAAAGAGGGGAGGAAGAAAAATATATGCTCATAACATTTCATTTAAATATACTATACATTCTTCAATTAAAATAAAATCTCTCCCCTAAATGAATAAATATCAGATTTTATCAAACAACAATCCTACAAACAATAAAGCACCACATAAGTTTGCATAGACCAAAATAACCGACAGCTTACTTTTTGCAGTTACTGCCGTATTTTTGTCCATTCTTTCGAAATAGGCAAATAAAATAGAAAGTAAAATGTGCATTTTACAGTTTGCATTTGCATGTAAGAGTTAGCATTTAGCTACTGTACATTCAATCAAAATAATGCAATTCAAACATATACCAGAAATAATAGTATATAATCTTACCACACTTAAAGTCCCTCTGTAGTTAATAATTGTATAATAATCCCTTAAAACTCATCTTTGATCACCAAAATTACATTTTACAAAGTTTTTCCTTAAAAAAAAAATATTCATGGCTTAAAATAACTTGAATGTATCTATACACCCTTGCCTGATTTAGTGTACGTGGTTCTATGAATATGCAAATTATCCATGTCTCCACTCACTCACAGAGCTCAGAGATCCTCAGGTAGACGTAATTGGTTACAAGGTAGTTTGTGACATCAAAAACACCAGTGATTTCAAACTGTGTTTTTGAGACTGTCTTTGGTACACTGCTGTTTTCAGGAGAAAATACTCTTTTTGTGTTGCAATTGTGTTGACTTATGAGTTGGCACTTTGTCTTAAAGCATATTTAAAACACCACATAGACATATAAAAACTTGATTTTCACCACAAGGGGACAATTTGGGATTTACTTCTAACCTTGACTACCTTTTAAGGCAGAAATTAACGTGCAGACACAGATATTTGGAAAAAGTTTGTGACCAAAATAAAAATTATTTTGATGGGAAACCATGTGAAACATTTCCATTACATTGGGTTCAAGTTTGTTTGGTTTTGCTAATGTGGTCGCACCTTAAGATGCAGTGCTAGTTTCAGTAACAATGACTTCTGATTGGTGGATTTCACAGCGCTATTGTGGGTAATGTAGTACTTAAAGGGTTTGTTCACCCAAAAAATACAATTCTGTCAGTATTTACTCACCCTCATGTTGTTCCAAACCTCTATGTGTTTATTTGTTCTGCTGAACACAAAGGAAGATATTTGGAAGAATGTTTTAATCAAACAGATCTCATTCCCCATTGACTACCATTATGTATTTTTTCCTACTATGGTAGTCAATGGGGAATGAGATCTGTTTGATTAAAACATTCTTCCAAATATCTTTCTTTGTGTATAGCAGAACAAATAAACACATAGAGGTTTGGAACAACATGAGGGTGAGTAAATACTGACAGAATTTTCATTTTGGGGTGAAAAAACCCTTTAAGAATATGCCACAATATACAGCAAAATCTATTTTTAGTTAAAGGAGTAGTTCACTTAAAAAAAAAAATTGCTGATAATTTACTCACCCCCATGTCTTCCAAGATATCCATGTCTTTCTTTCTTCAGTCAAAAAGAAGGTTATTCATCGTCCCTTATTCATAGACCCTTATTCATCGTCTGGTGTCATTTAAAGCCCTTTGAGGCTGCACTGAAACTCTCTTTTGGACCTTGAACCGTTTGGTTCCCAATGAAGTCCATTATATGGAGAAAATCCTGGAATGTTTTCATCAAAAACCTTAATTTCTTTTCAAATAAAGAAAGAAAGACGTGGATATCTCGGATGACATGGGGGTGAGTAAATTATCAGCAAAAGTTTTTTTAAAAAGTGAACTACTGCTTTAAGTTAAAATCTAAATTTCAGACCATTTGATTCTAGAGTTGCTTATACAATAACTTTGATTAAATTGATTATTTAATCACAAAAATGCAATATAATTTTAATTAAAATTATTCAACCCCCATTGCAATTCAGATTTTTTTTTTTTGCCAACATTTACAGACTTTCGGGTGTTTGCAGTGAACAAATCAAACCAAAGTAGGCTAATTGAAATAGCTGTTGGGATGTGGCTTCCCCAAATTAAACTGAAAATGCAACATTTAATGACTTCTGCAGACTCAAAATTATTCAACTCTCAATAGAATCCCCCACAACATCACAAATCGGCAAAACATGTGTTGTCTCAAGCACATCTGATGCAACTAATGAAGGCTTCATGAGTTGCAGCAGGTTTGCTTGAGCTAGAACACATAAAATATCCAAACTGACTAGGTTTGTTGTTAAGTGTTACTTTTGACTGCATGTTAGAAATATGGCTAAGTCAAATTAATGATCCAAAAAGTTAGGAGAAGAAGTCCTGGAAGATTCTACAGTGGCCACCAAAGTCCCCTGATTTAAACCCCATAGAAAATCTCTGGTGGGATTTGAAGAAGGTGGTTGCAGCACGCAAACCCAAGAATTGGACTAAAATACCTCAGAAACGCTGCCAGAAGCTGATGTCTGAATAATACATCTTGTTTGCAGCAGGTAACAGCAAAAGGGTGTTCTACTACATACAAAAGATGCTTGCCATGAAAGGGTTGAATAATTTTAAGACTCCAGAAGTCATTCAAAGTTGCATTTTCAGTTGAATTTGGAAACCACTTGAAAAATTTGTTATGTTGAACTATTTCAAACTTTTGTTTGATTTGTAAATTGAAAACAGCTGTAAGTCTGTTATTTTTGCCAATAAACTTTATTTACAATGAAAGTTGAATAGTTTTGATTAGAAAGTCTATTAATTTGGAACAGTTGTGGTTGACCGACAGTTGTTTGAAAAAAAGCGTTCCTGTGAGATGAACGAGGAAAGAGGAGCGGGCAAAATGAAGAAAGGGTTATTAGATAAAACAATGAGGAAGGGCACTAATTCTAAAGGCAGGAATAAAGAGGGATTGCTAGGGATTGTGAGAGGGACAGACCCGTCCATTTTGTAGTCTGGCTGAAGGCAGACTGCTGGTGCTGCTGCAGAGATCTGTGTGGTTACCCTACGGTAAGCAGAGGAGGACAAAAGAACAATGTGAGAATGAGAAATAAAAAAAGCCCCATGAAATAGCTGAGGTGACAGATTGTTGCACAAGTGTGATGAAGAATGAATGAAAGAGGGAACAAGCAGTGAAAGGACTCTGTGTACAAACAGTGGTCGCACAGAGTCTGGATTACCAATTCCATCAGCTATTTTACTAACATTGTTTCTCTTTGCATTTCACTGATGTTTGCTTACACTACCACTCAAAAGTTTATAATAGGCTAATTGCGATTTTGTTATGTTTTACAATTTTAAAATGTTCTATTTTAATATATTTTAAAATGTGTTTATGTTGTGTTTAGTCCTTTGATGGCAAAGCTGAATTTTAAGAATCATTATTCAAGTCTTCAGTGTCACATGATCCTTCTTATATGTCATCATTCTTATATGCTGATTTGCCACCACATGAATTAAAATTATATTTTTAAATATATTTAAATAAAATGTGAATTATTATAAACTGTAATAATGCAACCTTGGTGAGCATAATAATAAAACAAAATAAAAAATAATAATAATTAAAATTCCAAACTTTTGAGCAGTAGTGTAAGTCCTGAATATCTGTTTTTATTTAAGTGACATAAGATTAAAATTAAGAAAAAGTAAACTACCACTCTTAAACTTGTGTGTTAAGCAGAAGGAACTGGTGTAAAATCTCCAGGTTTTTTAATAATTTCGTATCATCCAAATAGTAGCTTTATAAGAGGAATCACAGGTATACTAACCCTCAAACTCCCCCGACTGCCAACAGACATCCGCTCCTCATCATCTGATATCTGACACAGGAAGAGAAATAAAACAGAGTTTAGAACTGTGCTTTGGGTAAACTAGTGTACTTCTCTAGCAAATGTGGGTCAAAAAATACAATTAAATGCATTTAAAACATTTCTTATCAGTGAATTATTTAAAAAAATATATATAATTAAACTTTTTTGTGTACCTACTGTACTTGCTATAATGTGTCAGAATTTTGAGATATAAACTCATATCTCACAATTCCGACACATTATAAGTGCAAGAAGAAAGGTCAGAATTGTGGGATAAAAAGTTGCAATTACTGCGGCAAGTTTCCATGAAAAAAACAATATATGACCATTTAGATGGTAAATGTGTGTGTGTGTAATGCTGCGTTCCAGGCAGGTTTTTGAGCTCGTAAATCACGACTTCAAACCACGACTTACGACTTTGTAGCATTCAGATCATTCACGCCAAACTACCTAGATGTAAACAAACCAGCATGGCGGACCTTACGGGGCTCACGCGCATTTGTAATAATTTCTAACGCCAAAGGTGCTTACTCCTTGTTTCTTTGTGGGAAAACTGAGGAGGAAAAATAGTGCGTGAGGCAAGATAAGCTGTTATACCTTTTATTTTACTTTAGAATTATTATTATTTGTATATTTGGAAATGTATGGTATTAATTTATCCTTGCACTCAATGGACTGAAAACTAGTTAACGTTATGTTGTCCTAAACTAAAGTGTCCTCACCGTGTACAACCTGCATCCGTAGGGGCTGTCATTGTAGTTTTGTATAGGTTTGCGGGCTATGTGACGTCAGAACTCGTAACTGGGAGTACATCGATCTAGTACGAGTTCACGGGTGGGAAGTCACGGGTTTGACTGCCGTTCCAGTGCACTTTCACGGGTGTAAGGTTGGAAAAACACGAGTTACAGGTTGCCTGGAACGCGGCATAAGCCTACATTGCCTGTTTGTAGTTTGTATGGACTACTATTTTTATGACACTTTTTTATGACACAGGTATGACAGTTTTATGATGCTTGAAAACTTCAGTCCCTGCCAGTTCACTGTAACTGCATGGAAATTAACATGAAATTTAGTTTTTTAACATTGTAGATTTGATTAAGTGATTTTCATTTTTGGGTGAAGTACATATGACATCTGTTAAGAACAGCACACTACAGGCCTTTAGCAAAAATAAAATGTAGGAAGTGAGTGATGAAGAAGAGGACCGAATGCGGAAGAAGGGGAAAAGGGGGAAAACGGGACTAAGGAAATATTAAAAAAGGAATAATCATGTAGGACAAAAAGCAGATGGAGAGATACAGACCGAAGTATGTCTCCTAGAGTGGCGGGAATACCGCTCACTGTCCTCCTGAAAAGCAGAGCGGGAAAAGAGGACAGAAAGCAGGAAGTTTTAGGTCAAAAGGTCACATGACTTTCAAACACTGCAAAAACTGAACAACAAAGCATGCACTGGGAGATTACGCTGTCTGTCATATCACGGTTTATTACAGGGCTCAGACAGGGTGTCTGGAGGGGTGGGAGGGGAGGGTTGAGTGCTTTAAGATGTGGGTCACGCGACCGCCCTATAATCCTGCTGTATGTTATGACCACCTCTACTAAGCCCTAACATGTCAGATGGGCCTCCTGCCCCCCACTGCTCCAGTAAAGCCTGTGAAATGAGGATCAGACACAGACTGCCTGAGAGACATGCAACACCAACCAATCTCAGAAGGATACATTGTGATAGTTAGGGGTTGATTAACTGCATTCGGGTGCTGTGTGCTGTGTGGGACCTGTTTCTAATTCGAATTCTATCTTTGGCGGTCTATTGCATGCAGCAGTGTGGTATAATAACAGGTCATACCATCCACTGTTCAATATGGCCCCATTTGTTGTCCAGCCCATAGTATTTCTGGTGCAGAGAGGAGGAGAGCATGAGGAAGACGATCAAATGAGGAAGGGTTATAATGAAAGTATAGGAGGATGTTAAAAACAAGTTTGCAAGAGAACTTGGTTTGAGACTGGTCTTGTTTATTTCTTCCTCAAGCTTTAGCTGTATTTTTATAACCTGATGTTAATAAAACAATGCAAATAACTACAGGTTGTATTTCTAATGATCAAATATGAGGACTGTTAGAAAGACATTATGGAGGGACAGATCTTACCTTTTGCGCCTGATATATCTAATTAAACCGCAGGGAAACCAGGGTGAAGAGAAAGAAAGAAAGAAAGTGAGACAGGAAGAAAGAGATATAAAGAGCTTAAAGGAGACTATAGGGATCATTTGTAAATAAATCAGGATAGAGCTGGTATAAAGAATAAAAATCTGTCATTTTACTCAACCCAAAACATTCTTAAAAGCCTTCTAAAAATGATGCTGATTCAAAATGCCAACAAATTAACAATATCCTATGGGATCACATTTAAATTTAGCAATTGATCACATGATGCACTGAACTTTTTCAGCATTAATACTAATAAGATTAATAATAAGAAGAACAACTGTTCCAGTTATCAGCATATTCAAATGTTTTCTGAAGGATCATGTGACACTGAAGACTGGAGTAATGGCTGCTGAAAATTCAGCTTTGCCATCACAGGAATAAATTACAATTAATTTATAGTATAATAATCCAATAGTATACAATAGCAGAGAACACTCTAAACGACAACCCCAAATATTTGCATTTTTATTAGGGCTGTGCAAAAGTTAATTGCGATTAATCGCATCCAAAATAAAAGTCTGTGTTTGCATAATATATTTGTGTGTGCTGTATATAATTATTTTGTATATATAAATACCTATGCATGCATGTATATATTTAAGAAAATGTGTTATTCATATATAAAATATTTATATTTATATAATATAGATTATGTATTTATAAATATATACAGAATTTAAGCGCAAATAATTCTTAAATATATACATGCATGCATAGGTATTTATATATACAAAATAATTATATACAGCACACACAAATATATTATGTAAACACAGACTTTTATTTTGGATGCGATTAATCGCAATTAATTTTTGCACAGCCCTAATTTTTATGCTAACAATTATCAAAGAAGCTATTCCGACCAAAGACCAAAAAAGTCACATGACAATACATTAACTAAATAAAGGATATACCTTCAATGTATGTGAAAAGTGATAACATTCACACACTCACCTCATAAGCCGTACTCGGCACTACATACAGTACATATCACATCTTCAGTTTACTAATACAGACTGGCAAAGGTTAACACCAGCACACACACACACAAACACACTAGGATCCATGATAAAACACATCCCCCCTTTTTTCTATATGCTAAGCAAAACCTTTATGCAAGAAAAAGGAAAAAATCTCTGCGTCTTGAATAACTATTTTTCTGATCCAGGTTAATTCTGATGCTTAGGTGGTTTATGAGAATTGACGAGAATTCACACATCTTTCCTCCTGGAGAACCATTTCACTCCACTTTTGTTTTCTTTTTTTTAATTCAGTTTGTGTATTAGTGGTGGGAATTTTCAAACCTATCAAACTATCTGCAGGTTACATTATAACCTTATTACGAGCGAGTGAGTGAATGAATCATTCACTAAACTGACTCGTTCAAAAGCAAAGATTCATACAGTAAACAATTACTATACGTTGCAACTGTGTGGTGAATGAGACATGAACCAGTTGATTCTGTTTAGGCTTTTTTTAGTTTTTTCATTGGCGGCGCAAAAAACAAAAACATAAATCTTAATATCGCTTTTAAAATGTAAGTTTTACTTGTATGTTGCTTGTATATATCTGCTTAAATAAAGCTAGTGTGAAATTCTATGTAGTAGAACCATACAACACAGCCTATTTGTTATAGCCTAAGAAGAAAGTAGAACTGTAACAGTCTGCCAACAGATTATCTCCTGACCTCTTTTTGTTGCCTCTCCAATTCCTTCATACGGATTTCTCGAGCTTCTGCCCGGGCTGCCCGTTTAGCTGCCAGTCTTGCCTCCGCCTGGTGGAAAAACAGAGAGAGAGAGAGACTGAATTGTATTGCTTTTTTTTTTTTGAATACAAATGAAAGTCAAGACTATTTACCAGTTTGAGTGAGAAGGGAAGTTTGTATGACAGAGAAAACCCTTTTCTATTTGAGTTTTATACAAAGCAAATGCTAAAACTGAAGTTGAGAGTTCTTGGAATGTAATCTAATTAAGCTATTCACAGACTTTCAGTGATCAATCCATTATAGTTTTAATCTCATCATTGACTTGAGGGGGTGGAAGTCCCATAGAAAAGAGTACCAATCAGTAGCACCACAACCAAGATTAAGACCCATTAGAAATGACTGTTCTACCTATAAAGAAAATGTTTGAAACATAACAACAAAATCAACATGATGGTCAAGGAAAAATATAATCAACTGTTATATAACCGTAAAACGAATTATTGATAGATTGTAATATTGTAAGCTCTAAACGCAAACATTGTGATATTATAAACACAAACACTGATTGTGAACTAAAGTTACCAGTAAAGCACGCACACACACAAACTGTGCCAGGAAAGAATATCTCACTCACTGCCTCCAAGCTGCCATTTCCGGTCAACAAGTGAAACCCACAGCATAACTGAAAAAGAAATGCTGCTCAACAACCAAACTGATGTACATCATCATTGTAAATGCTTATTATCTGTCACCATACAAATAGCATTTTTTGGTCCTCACACTTGTCTCAGTGGTTTAAACTAAAGCCAGATGAAACAGAACTGACAAACAGGAGAAACAAAACACTGTGTGCAACAATACAGTCACAAGGCTTTTCATTCAACAAAAAAAAAGCGCCATCATTTATACTGAAGTAACACTAACTGCACCATGGTATTGTGGCAGAAATGTGGGATATTCAAATAGAATTAATGTAGACATGTATTAAATATATTAAAGGGGTGGTTGGTTATGATTTCACTTTTCAAACTTTAAAGGGGTGTTGAACTGAGAAATCAAATTTTTCTTGAGCTTTTGACATCTAAGAGGTCATCATATTATAAGAACATCCTATCCTAAGTATCCTAAGTTTCAGAACTGAAAACGTGCTTGTTAGTCCAATAAAAGCTTTTATTGACACCAGCCTCAGCAAACGACTCGTTTTTCGAAGTGGGGAACTATGACGTCAAAGAGGATAAAACACCACCCCCGCAGAAGAAGATCAACGCCTACTTCAACACGGCCGGTTTAGCCCCGCCCTCTGATTCGTGCATTAAACGCATAGCTAAATAACATAGATGCCTACCTCGTGATGACAAACCGGAGCTACCGAGCAAAACAAAATGTGTGGAAGAACACAGTCGCTGAATATGCTTCATCTGACTGGATTCCAATAGGACGGTTAAGCTTAATATTTAAAGGTGCCCTCTGGGATAAAAAATCAAATCATACACCATATTCCATACCAGATGGAGGCAGTATACCTACAGAAATACGTCCGCGGCCGCGCGCAACCTCATGTCTTCAAACACTGGCGAGCGCTGTGTTGCTCTGTCTCCCTCCGCATATTAATCAAATCAATTGGCACGATAGTAAAAGGTTGGAAGACCGCATCGTGCAGCATTTGGAGATTTTTAGAGATTAGAGACTAAATGAACAACATCACAATACTAAATTATAAAGGCCGTCTCATAGACAAGCCGGTGCATTCCGACGATATGGGAATATTAAAGCCCAGGCTATTATTTCTAGTTTATAGTATTCGTTTTGTTCATGTTACATTTTTATCATTAGTTTGAATTAATTTGACAGACAGCATTCCCTAATGTGGACCAAGCTAGCGCCTTTCAGAGCTGCCAACTCTCACAAATTCACCGTGAAACACACAACTGATACTACACACTCTCACGCCACATCCATTTTGTCATGCACAGAAAAAGACACGGAGACCGATCTCAGATTCTGTTATTTTTATTACGCAATTCAAACAACAAATGCAGTTTTGGCGCTTGTAAATGTAACACGACAGATCCCTAGCGCACGTGAATCGATCATCTTTACTAGCTAATGGTAAAAGAACACGAACACTGTTCAAAGATACAGTATGTTACAACTTACCAAAATGTATTCCTCAAGCATAATATCGACCAATCATTTTTTAAACTCATCCCTGAACTGAAATTTAGTAGTGGGCTGTATTTTCCACACGACTGACATCAGGTTCAAGTACACACACACACAAGCCGGCGCGACTTACTCGTGTACAGCGGTTTGGCTGGTTGTTATGTTGCCCGCCCGCATACCGCCTCCCATGGCCGAAACTGGTATTACGACACCTGCCGGGCCGGGGCTAGTAATTTAGCATGCTAATTTAGCTTTATATCTCGCCAGCACTATAACTTGTCAGTTTTTTAATGACATCATTGCACTTATTTCTTCTCATTCTTTTGATGTGTGTAGCTCATTTTTTGGATATTTTTACCTCAATTATTCCATATGGCACCTTTAATGACGTTCCAGCAGATGAGGGTAAAACATTGTCCGTCTGTTTGCTTCATTTCAATGAGGATTGTTTTGTAAACAAGACTGGATTTGCAGACCGATTAAGAGTAAAGAACGGTGCTGTGCCATCTATATTGGATCTGACAGGAATGGTGCAACACACGGACTCTGGGTCGAACATGTATGGGCGAATCCTTCCGGTGGCCATTTTACACCATTGGACGTTTTCAGAACAATTTCCCCCACTTGCACAAACAGGTGAGTTGAAACTGATTATAATATGCAAAACTGTTATCCACTCATAGCAGTGGGTGTTTACTTTCAAGTCTCCAGTGTGAGACTCCCATAAAAACCTAGCGTTTCAATGTTTTTGAATGCAAAAACCAAGCGAACATCATAAGTTGACCTCAGACAACAATAGAATCAAATTTAAAAAGCCAATTCATGACCATCCATCCATATTTTCACATGCAATACAGTACGTAACACAAATGGAATAGCATGTCATTCTGAATGCATCTTACAACAGTTCCCACACGAACGATTTTTGTAGATTATCATGACGGAAAATGCTAATCAATGACTTGAAGATAGTTAACTCCACATCAGAAACATAAATTCATCAACCATTCAGAAACTTCATGTTGCATTCTACATGTTGTCACTTCTTCTTGAGTCTCTCCATCATTGACTCCACTTTAAACATAAAACGCAGAACAGGTAATCGGAGCTGCTAACACACACAAGCTCTTGAAGCTCCACCCTCTGTGCCCGGAGCAGCAGCTCAATTGCATTTAAAGGGACACACGAAATGACACATTTTTACTGACCCTCAAAAAGGGACAATTTTAACATGCTATAAACAATTATCTGTCGGGTATTTTGAGCTAAAACTGAGGCTAATGTTTTTCATACAAATACCATAGAAACCATATAGTTACATTTTACCATGGTATGAGGTCCTATATGCAAAGTTTTAACTGGTTATCATAATCTGAATGTTTGCTACTATGGTTTATCTGAATAAAACTCTATCAGTCAGAAAACTAAATCAGACAGAAAAATGTTAATGTTACCATATAAAAATGAGTTTAAAATTTAAAAACGATTTTTACAGATATAATTGTTTAATTTTTCTTTGCCATTTTTGTGAATGTTTGCTGTTTTTGTAAATGAACATACATTTCCATCTGCAACCTAACTCAAGCTACAACTGTAATATGTAATATTATTAATATTGCAGCCTGCACTCTGCACTGCAAACTGTGCTGAAGACACACATCATCTAAGACAGGTGACACAAACCATTTTCAATCTATTAAGTTTTGACAATTAAGATTTACATTCTGGTTTTTACAACTTTCCCTTAGGAGCAAAAATCTGCCTTTAAAACTTGAAAGAAATAAAGATTTGACATTTATTGTTGTCACAAACTGCTCTGAAACACTGGTCCAAACACAAATTTATTAGGGCAATTCACAATCCATAAAACAGGTAGTAATTCAAAATAATGATGGGCAATTTCGAAACAGTGCTTCATGAAGCTTCGAAACCTTTACGGATCTTTTGTTTCGAATCAGTGGTTTGGATCGAGTATCAAACTGCCAAAGTCACGTGATTTCAGTAAACGAGGTTTCGTAACCACATAACTGTTACGAAACCTTTGGACATTTCAATGGTATACAGACTTGACAATGATAAGTTAAATACATTTGATAGATTTTACTTTAAATAAAACATTTGCAATGCATTTATAAGAGGTTTTTATGCATGTTTGGCCTTAGTTTTGTTGTATTTCCACTGTTCTGAAAAGCAGGTACCGCTCCACCTGTGGCGCTTCAAACACTCCGAAACAGTGAATGATTTTCCAAAGCGATTGGTTCAATTGATTTGAAGCTTTGAAAAGCTTTGTTTCTCCCATCACTAGGTCAAAACACAGGGTAGCTAATCCAAAAAGACAACAGGGCAAAAAAACACAGGCAAACAAGAGAAGCTCAAAAATATGACACAAGACATTAGGAAGAGAGCGCTCAGAAATGCGGTATGACACCTATAAGACCCTGCAACCCAGACAGCACATGTACGTCTCCAAGATGTCTGTTAAAGATCACTTTTTCTGGAAAGCATCTGCTGTTTAACATTCTTATAGACGTCTTTAAGATGTTAGTTTTGCATACATTCTAAATCATAAACATCTTAAGACATTTTCTAAACATCTATTTGACATCTGACGGGAAACGTCCTATAGACATATTGCAGATGAAAATACATCTTCTAGATGTAAACACACATCACATAGACATGATGTACGTGTGCTATCAGGGAACGTATGCAACGTTCACACAAGGCTTATTTATAATAATATAAATAAAGATAATGAGACACAGCTGAACATAATAACAACATCATTAGTCCAGGCAACAAGTTACTGGAAATGAAGTTCATGATCTGATAGCAAATGACTAGGGAGGAGTGCTCTCTGGTGGAAATTCATGGGTACTCCAGCTGGCAGGTGTGAGAATCGTGATGATTATCGTGATAATTATTGAAACTGATTTGGAAGATTTCATTGCGAGAACTTTTTGGCCATATTGCTCCGCCCCCAAGTAATTTATTATATAGGGATGTTACATTTGTAATTGTAATTTTAATCTTTAATTTCGCTTACAGTTTTTCGGTGGGGGAAAAAAATGGTGCATCTTTAGTTAAAAGTGAATTTCACAAATTTTACACAAAAAGATAATTAAATATGAAACATTACATAAAACTGTCAGAGTAAGACAGTATAGTATATGTAATTAAAACAAAAATTCATTTAAATTAAGTGAATAGTTTATTTTATACCATCTTTGTTAGCATTCAGTTTAACCCTTTGATGCACAACATGGGTCTAAATAGACCCGACTGAGTTTTCATTTTCTATATCTTTGCATTAAATTGATTTCATCATTCAGTATTCCAGCTATTCCTCAATTAACTTGTTTTAGATCATTACAAATCCTTATTTAAATTTTTTTGAATAAAAATAGTTTTTGTGTCACTACCCTAATGCGCAACATGGGTCTAAAAAGACCCATATCCATGTTTCTATGCTGAATATTTGAAAGAAATGTATTTTACCATTTACTAATCTTATAAATCATATTCGCAAAAATGCTAATTACGTTTTTAATAAGTAACTAGACAAGGCAGTTTGGGGTGTGGGCAGAAAATTTTATAGAAAGGAGAATTTTCACAAAGAAGTAGAATCAATGAATTACGAATAATTTACTGCCATTCTGAGAATAACAATTAATCAATACAAAATTACCTGTAGTCTGAATACATATAGAGATCAGTGGTGGAAAGGGGAAGTTCAAATGAGGCAATCAAACCTTTGTGTGAAAACACCCTGTCTCTGTTGAATGAAATTAGAAAATTCCATTGTGCTACCTTTTTTTATACCCCCATATTCTTTATAAAAGTACCATAAAATATATTTATTTTATAAGCTACGGAAGAGCAAGTGTTTTGTTGTGTATGCAATATATCCAGACAGCATAGGCTATTGCACTGTATGAAGTCTGGCTAAATCTCTGAAAGTGGACAGCATAACAAGCTTGCAGAGGCGACACAAACAGACAGTTAGAAAGCAGCTCTTTTTCTTTTGTCTGCACAAGTCACAACTCATTGAATAAGGGGCTTCAGACAAGCCTCTGGCCTAGATCCTGCCAACCATGCCCACTGGCCTGTCAACAGCATGCAGGGAGCTGGAGTTCACACTGCTCAGGAGAGCAACTCTCCCATTACTGACTATCAGAGGCATAATGGAAAACTGTTCAAATATAAACTGTATAATTGTACAAGTACATTATCTTATCTTATGCCAGCAAAAAAAAAGTTATAATGTACAAAACTGCTTAGCAGACAAACACGGCAACAATATTACAGTAATATTAATTATTAAGTCTTAATACACAAAATGGCAACAGTTGTGTTTCTATAAAAGAAGAAAGAATACGCAGTGTATAGCATCTGTTTCAATTAAGGCCAGTTTACATCAAGACAAATGTTATGTATGATGCAAAGTGATAAACGTTTCAATTTGAATGAATGACTGTTAAGACATCTACTCAGGCATATATGCAGTAAACATTTGCGTAGTGACAGATTTTTGTATTGAGAAGTGTTCTAATCTCTTTTCCATTGCACTGTAAAGAAAACGGGCCAACCAATGACATTCGTGTTTTTGGTCACATGACATGTCTAGGGATAAACAAATTTGTTGCATTCAAAAATGCATAATGATTAATAGTTACTACAATTGGTGTGAAACTTACTTCATGAATCACGACTGTTAAAAAAGTATGTTCTATATATGAATGTGAGTGTTAAGGCCCGTACACACCGAGACGAATATCAGCGCGGGTTATTTGTCAGCGTTTTTCAACACGTTTTTTGTGTTCACACACAAGCGATTTTCGCTGACGATGAGCCTAGTGAACATGCAAATTCATTCCCTGACATTAGATGGCGCCAATTTGCTCTGCAATACCACTCCATAACAGTTATATTTTATCAAGATGTTTGCAGTCCCTGTCGCGTTTGTCATATAGTTCTTTATGTTCTAGCACCAATGAGAACAGCAGCTCTACATTCATCATGCCTTGCATCTTCCTTGTCTTATTTCTTCCTGCCTGTGTAGACGGCGCGTATATCCTCTTCACCGTTGCATATGTGTGCTCGGCAAGACCGTTTTGTGTTTGAGCGCCCCCAAGTTGTGTTTTACTGTATCTTCAGATGCTCCAAACACGTGAGCAAAAGTGCCAATCTCATTGGTCGGAGAGTTTTTGATGCGAAGCGTCAAACCAAAAAAAATGAACCCGAGGCACTTTTTTTTTTTTTTTAATTACGCTTTTACGCGTGGCGTTTTACGTGTCGGCAGAGCCCGTCTAACAGAGAGCCACTTCCTATTAGCCCCATTGTGTATCATCCTGGTTGCAGTTCCATTAGAATTCCACTGGAGGTGATCGCGGGCGAGAGCAGAATGAATGGGAGTCTATGGGGCTAAACGGCTAAAAGTGTCTCTTTCACCTGCTTGTCATTAAATTAACATAGATTTTATTGTTGATTCCGCAAGTTCAATATAGATTATAGGCCAAAAGTCGAATGAACGAGTACGTATGTCCTTTTGATTTCTTACAGGTTTGGCCGTTGTTGGCCGGAACACGCTAGCATTCTGCTATTGTGTGACGTCATCACATTTTTGAACGGATTTTTAGAACAGATACGTGAACTTAAAAATGCAATTTCAGCTGAGTGTATTATCTTAGCCCTCCCTTTTGAATGCAACTTTCAAATTACTTGACAAAAAATTACATCCTGAGAAAAGTGGATTTATGGGGGTGAAACCCCATTGACTCCCATTCATTCTGCACTCGACCGCGAGCGCCCCCGCATGGACAGAGACGTGTTACTGCAGCCAGTCCAGAACCCGGAAGTAACCAGCCAGTGCCAATTCTCTTCAATTAGACATTCTCTGGTGTCGGTGTGAACACTCACATTGGCGCCCTTTGTATAGTCACGAGGCGTTAAACGTCGCGAATAGTGCACGCAAAATTCGTCCAGGTGTGAACATGCCTTTTTGAATAAAATTGACATGTGACCTACCATGTGTCAATTGCGTGTCCATAGGATGCACAGTTCAGAATCCTGTAGGAGGTAATTAGGGTACTTTTCGCCTTTACTGTTTTATAATTACAATGGATTCGTACATGCTACTCAGCTCACGTGCTGTTTTTCACCCACAATGTAGTATGTAAGTTGGCATATTTGGAGGCAGCACATGCCTTGTGGCACAAATGAACAGATTATTTAGCTAAGGGACAATGAATGGCAGAGAAAGAATCCGCAACCAGCTCTCTTATCTCTGCACTATTTTATTTGGTGTTATTTAATAAACACCATAGAGAATACAAAAATCTGAATGACTGTTTGAAAACAAAAAACATTTTTCCATAAGCGCCACCTACTGCCAGAGAGAGAATTTGCATTTTTATTCAGACCGTGGCACTGCTTCAAACTGACAAATCCCATGCAAAATTTGCACCAATGTTTGTGCCAAGTATAAAGGCCTTTATCTATAGATAAGTGGTTGGATATGTTTCCATGGATGATAATAAATATTTTGAAATATCAGACTGCTGGATTGTGCCCAAAAAAAATTCCAGAGAGCCATGCACTAATATGTGATCTCCATATTGTGAAGTAACTTTTTGTCATTTTATTTATTTTCTGTGCTTTTTCAGTTTTACCATAGTATAGTTATGTTCATAATCCAGGTGGACATTTTGTAAAAGAAAATGAACAACCCAGTATGTTAAGCAACAATATTAGGCTATTAATAAAGAACCAAGAAGAGATCCATAATGTCCATAAAGCCATAATGTCTACTGAAATACAGCACCAATAATAAACAGTTTAAACACATGCACATGCCAGTATCTCCACAGGTTATAACCCTTTGATCAGTGACTCAGCATGAGACACATGTGTAAGCAGTAAACTGGTGCCTTATCAGTCATATACCAGACTTGTGTACATTCTCCACTTTAGACCAGTGATTTTTGTTGGTTTCATGTATTAATGCAGAACTAAACCGTAGTGAAATAACATTATTACTACTAATGCAATATTAAGCTTCTTTAATCATGAAAGGCTCCAGCTTCACTGATTGTCGCAGCTGTCATACATGAATGATTTCTAAAGCACTAAATCTTGCAAATACACTCTACCAAAGAGAAGAAAGAAATACAGTCACGGCAATCTGCGTTTTTCTTCTTTGGCTCGATTCCTACACTGGGGGAGCTATATTTTGAGCTTTAATGTTCAGTTTCTGGTTTCGTTAAATACCGCTCTGTAAAAACAGGCTACTATTCACTGCTATTAGAGGGATTTGAGGTTCTGTCAGGAGAAGACAGAGTGCCTGTCCTAGATCAAGCATGAGCGTGGCAGAATCTGACAGATGTTCCTATCCTCCTCAGCTGTGTCAGGACCCCACAGGCCTCCCTATGGAACCATAAGGAACTAGATTCTTTCAGAGCCAGGAAAGAGATCAACTCTGTGAACTCACATATAATATTGCAAGTTTGTTGTTAAAGTCCTACACATTTTTTCAGGTCTTAAGCATACTGTCCAGGTGAAATAGCCTACTTGGGTGGAGCATAATGTCAGGGTTCTAGGAGTGCATGTCTACTTTAGACATTTTTGAAAACATTTAATATAGTCTAACAGTTATTGATTCTTTCTTTTTTATTGCAGATGATGACCATCCCATTACTGAAGATGTAGCACAGGTACTACCACATATACCAGCTGCAGTTCAAGATGAGATACCCAAGAGCTAGTATGTACTTGCAAACACAATGATTGTGTTTGTTGTGATTGGCGGAGTTTTGACGAGTTGTATTTTGACTAGAAACGTACAGTTGACTAGAATCACGCAGCGGAGGAATGGAAAGTTGACAAGCCATGAAAAAGTATTGACTTAAGGTAAAACTTTTTTTTTTTTTTTTTTTTTTACATTTGTAGGCATTATCAATCCCAATGTCTAATTGTTTCAAGTCATTTTCTCGTCAGGTATTTTTCGCAAGACAGTAAGGAGAAAATGACAATTTGATGGAAAATTTTAATATATTCTGTATTACTGTCGTGGGATTCATATTATAACTATTATTATGTAGTAGTGTAACGTAGACAGACACAACTAACAGAGGTTTAAATTTTCCCTTGTTTAATTTGCACTCTGAATATGGGTGGAGCGTTTAATTTTAATTTAATTGAACTCTCAAAGTGCACAAGATTGATTCATTTAACATCAAAATGCACAAAATATTCTTACATGGCTGCATGTTTTTTTTGCTAGCAGGATGGTGACAGTTAAATAAACCATGTTTTTCTAGGGCTGGGACGGTTAGCGCATTACTGCAATAACCGTGATCACGTTACGCCTACTGCGGGTCTGAGCTTGTCACCGCCATCACCACAAAAAAAAACAAAAAAAAAACACACATTGTCCTGCATATATGTTCAGTGTCATGTCTAATGACATGGATTCATTGATTCTAATTACATGGATTATGTCTAATGAAATTGTGTCTTACATGGATTCAAGGTTTTCTAAACAAAACTTATCAAATGATGGAGCGAATTCGACCTTTCGCGAGTTAGGGAGCGCAATGTTCCATGCCACATAATAACATTCCATTTGTATTAGAGATGCGCGGATGGGCTATTATTTCACCAGCAACCGCATCACAAAATTTATAATCCGTCCGCTATCCATCTGCAACAACAATTTTTGACCAATTTTCAAAACCGTCATCCGCTGATTGTTTTACAGTCTATGGGTGATGCAAGGCGCCGCTGCCACGAGGAAAGCTATTGGCTGTTCTAGAAAAGAGACTGATCCAGTGCAGGAAATACTTTTAAAGGCTAAAGTAGTAGCTATGTTGTATCCCCAGAATATCAGCAGTAAACTCCGTCTCCGATAGGTGCAGAGGGACAAAAATAAGCCTAAATAAAACACACATCGGCAAACCTGACCTTACCTGACTAGGCTACTGTAATTTTATCATTTCTTTTTTGAATTCTGTTTCAAAGTAGACATTTCAGGCTTTCTATTTATTCATCATATCTGTGAGGCAAGTAGCCTATACGATGAGTTTCGGTTCATTTATGAGACGAGCTCCAGTTCCAGTATTTAACATGATTTTCCACTATACCGTGGGGGTTTCTTGCTTTTCATTAAAAAAAAATCGATATGTT